CAATCATAGACAGTCCCCTCGCGTTTTTTAAAATATGAAATGTCCTCTAGAAATCATATTGAAATCAAACATTATACCCAAAGGTTATATTAGACGTTATACCAACAAGTAACTAATTTAACGATATTTCTCGAAAAATCAGTCTTAGTTTGATAAAGACGATTTACAAAGGAACTTTTTTTTTTAATGTTAGTCTTAGTAAGTTTAATATAAAATTGAAATATAAAAAAAAGTGATTCAAGTTTAAATAATCTTGAAGAAATATCGACTTAGAATTTTAAATAAAACATCACATAATTTTACTTACTTTTAAATGAAACATTTCGAATGTATGTTAATAGTTCCTTTCCGGTAGGGGCTGGATATATTTCATCGCATTTCAAGAAAGACTCACAACGATCTTTTATCATGTTGTGCAACGCATGCGCCATGGCGTACACAGCATCAACCACAAATGGCACCAATCCCTCCTGCTCATACTTATTCAAAGTTTCAGCTCCTACAATGAAATAATATTGGTAAAATCAGCAAATGCAATTATTATCCAAATAATGTTTGACACAAAAAAATTGTGTTTGAACAAGTGAAAAATTAACTAGAAACCAAAATGGCACTTCAAACTCATAAATTATTTAAAGAAAAAAACACGTAATTTGTAAAAACTCTAAAATAGTATTGTCAGAAATGTAATTAGTATATTCATACGTCTGAGTACCTTATTAAAAAGTGGATTTTAGGATTATTATAGAAATCTATTTTGGAAGATATAATTAAGTTAAAGTAAGTTGTGTTGAAACGGATTAGATAATTACTAGACAAACCCGGAAAAAAAACGTAACTGTTCGATTATAAATGAATTATATTCGTTATATTGGAAGTGTATTAATTAACTGACAATATGAATCTCCGATTATTTACATGAGGACGATTCAGAGAGAAATCTTTGAACTGTTATATGGATTTAAAAATGAACATCTACTTGTGTTTGTAATCGATAATTTACATGTAAAACATCCAGCTGATAATATATTTAGGTAACATTAAAAAAATCACGACTGTATAGCATATAAAAAGGAAATGTTACAGGTGGCTCTAAAAATACTTTACATTTATAACTAACGACTTAATCGGATAAACAATCATACGACGGAATGAAACCGATATATAAATTATTAAATTTAGTACATAATTAAGTAAATAATTCCTTTTTTATTATTTTTCATCCACGAGAGGGAGGAATTTATGGATCAGCAAAAAAAAGTTAAGATAAAATATTAGAACGTTTAACATCAATGAATATACATTTATTCAAAAACGATCTTTTAAATACTTATACAACTTTGTTTCTAAGAGATGCATTCGATTTTACATTTTGTACATCCTATAAAATAAAATAACTGAGAAAGAAAGTAACAGATTTTAATGGATTTGTAGCTTCACCATGCAATAATTACGATAGCGCTCAGATATTCTATCGTTCGAGCATATAGGTTTTTTTTTGTTTTTTTTGGATTTCGCGCAAAGCTACAAGAGGGCTATCTCGCTAACCGTCCCTAATTTAGCAGTGTAAGACTAGAGGGAAGGCAGCTAGTCATCACCACCCACTGCCAACTCTTGGGCTACTCTTTTACCAACGAACAGTGGGATTGAGTGTCACATTATAACGCCCCAACGGCTGAAAGGGCGAGCATGTTTGGTGTGACCGGGATTCGAACCCGCGACCCTCAGATTCCGAGTGTATAGGAGGAACATGTCGAGCCGTACATGATATATAGAATATCATGGTTTCACAATGTTGATGTAGATATTTTTGATACTATACACCTGGAAAAAAGTTAAGCACCCCCAAATATTTTTCAGGATTGCTTATTGAAAATAAGGTTTAATTTTCATGATGTTGAGCAATGTTCATAATTTCAAA